TACCATCCAATCAATCAACTGTAAACAAGTTGATTTACCATTTACAACTTTTCATATTTCTTTCAGGTAATTTATTCACATACTTTAATACTAAAGTTAGTATATGCAACAGCAACCATATATGCAAATTGTGCTGCATATATAATTTTCAAGCCAGATTTTTTTTTTTAATAGCCAAAGGAAAACTAGATATACATCGTGGTTTTATATTTCTCAATATGCCCTTGGGCCGCTAGGTAGAGGTTCCCTAGAGATGAGCCCTGAACCAAAACTTAAAAGAATCTTAAAGGTTAGGCGAATAGGACCAGTGTGGAGACTGGTGGGCACGTCCATAGTCCAGGCACTGAAGCAGGTGTGAACAAAGGCACAGAGTAGAGCAGGGTGTGCCTCCGCTGCAGTAGGAAGAACGTTCAGAATGGGGTTGGAGGCCTGGCCAATGAGATTACCAATCTGTCTCACTGGCCAATGAGATTGGAAGAGCTGTGTAGAGCGTGGGGGAAATTCCTGACAAGTTTTCCCAGCGGAGAGGCGAGAGAGGGGTTAGTAGAACTAGTTTGCTCTGGCACTCCCAGAACCTAGCACGTTTACTATAGGGAACTATTTTCATCGTGAAGGGTGATAACGCAACCAATCTAATCCAAGGGTTTTCAGGTGGCAGTGAAGGGAATGAAGCAAGGTTTCCATTTTGTCTTTGATGTTTTGCCAGCCCTGAGTTTGAACTCAGGGCCCAGGTGCCAGCTGCTTACCACTGGGGCCTTCCATTACTTTGGCCTATTGGGTTTTGTAGGACTGCAGTGGCTCCTAACTTTGGCTACATATTGCAATGCCCTTTAGAACTGTTTTACAATATTGGGGGCAGGGGGTTGGGAGGGCAAGGATGGTTAAGGGGAAACAGAGGAGGAGGCAACAAGGCTTGATAAGAAACTCACTATTGTAACCCCTCTGTATGGTATTTTCACATATATATTGAGGCTTGAAAATGCTTTAAAAATCCCCCTAGGTGGCGAGATTCTGGGGGCTGACACCTGTCATTGTAGCTACTCAGGAGGCTGAGATCAGATGACCCAGGCTCAAAGCCAGCTTGACCAGGCAAGTGTGAGGCTCTTAAGCTGATCATTGGTGGCTCATGCCTGTCATCCTAGCTACTCAGGAGGCTGAGATCTGAGGATTGCAGTTCAAAGCCAGCCTGGGCAGGAAAGTCTGTGAGACTCTAGTTGCCAATAAACTACTCAGAAAAAACCAGAAGTGGTGCTGTGGCTCAAATGGTAGAGTGCTAGCCTTGGGCACAAAGAGGCTCAGGGACAGTGCCTAGGCCCTGAGTTCAAGTCCCAGGACTGAGCAAAAATAATAATAATAATAACCCTCAGGGACAGCACTCAGGCGTGGAGTTCAAGCCCAGTATTGACACAAAAACAAATAGAAAGTGAGTAAATGATCGAACCTCTCTGCAATGTATTACAAGTGATGGGTGATAGAAAAGTGCACATCAATGGCCAAGTACTGCTTTCTATGCATGAAGTACAAAAAGATCTAGAAAGATCCAAGGCATTATTCCTCAAAAACTGAACCTATTGCATAGTTTTATGAATCTCTTTGTTCATGGGAATGAAGGGCCTGTGGTAACAAAAATATCTTAGTCTGTATCTTCATCCTTTGATAAGTTTTCACTTTCCAACATCCTGGATTTTCTCCAAAACCAATACAAGGAGCTAGGCTCTGGTGGCTCACACTTGACTGCTCAAGAGATGGAGATCTGAGGATCACGGTTCAAGCCAGCCCAGGCAGACAAATCCAAGAGACTCATCTCCAATGAACCACCAGAAAACTGCAAGGTGAGCTGTGGCTCAAAGTGTTAGCCTCAAGCAGAAAAGCTCAGGGACACCACCCAGACCCTGAGTTCAAGCCCCGCAACTGACCAAAAAAAAAAGGGGGGGGCTGGCAATGTGGCTTAGTGGTAGAGTGCAAGAGCACTTGCCTAGTATGCATGAAGCCCTGGGTTCAATTCCTCACTACTACATACACAGAAAAAGCAGGAAATGGTGCTCTGGCTCAAGTGGTAGAGTGCTAGCCTTGAGCACAGAGCGGTTCAGGGAGAGAGAGAGCCCAGGCCCTGAGTTCCAGCCCCAGGACCGGCAAAAAAAAAGGGGGGGGGGGAAGGAAGGCCTTAATTATCCTATTCTTCCTCCTCCTCTCCACTCCTTTGGCCCTTCTCAGAATTGGAAGAGCTCTAAATACCATCTAGGTTGCTAGGATGAAAAGCCACAGTGAATGGCATCTACCCTCACCCTCAGGTGGGCCTGGGAGGACTGACAGTGGAAACTTCCTGCCTATATCTCCAAGGAAGTTCATTTTTGATTCCTCATACCAGCGACACCCAGAAAGAAATGTGATGGCAATTTGGGGGAATGGACGTATTGATTTTAGCAAATCAATATGACTGGTATAGAGTAACATCTCAGTTAATTCTGAAGGGCTAGGTCATGCAGACTACAGGGTGTGGGGGGGGGGGGATTTCAGTACAGAATTGCCAGGGGTCCCCAAGACAGTAAGGGAGAGGCTGTTTCCTATTTCTATTTGGGGAGAAATAGATGGCTAATAGTTTTATTTTAGGGATAGCAATGATAAAACGTTATCTGCAATCCCCACTCCTCAGGAGTAGAGGAAGATGATGGTTCGAGGCTGGCGTGGGCCAAGTTGGCATTTATAACGAGACCTTATTTCATAAACAAGACAAAAACACAAGTGCTAGGGGCATGGCTCAAGTGGTAGAGTGCTTTTCTAGCATGAGAGAGATGTTGGGATCAATCTGGAGTACCACAAAAAGGGGTGGGAGGAAGCAATTGTTTTAAACACAAAATTAGGCCCGACACTGGTGGCCCACACCTGTAAGTAATCCTAGCTACACAGGAGAACTGTGGTTTGAAGCCAGCCCAGGCAGGAAAATTGGTAAGACTCTTAGCTCCACTGAGCTACAAAAAAAAAAGCTGTAAGGGAAGCTATGATTCAAGTGGTAAGAGAACTAGCTTTGAGGAAGAGAGGCTCAAGGATACTGCACAGGCCCTGAGTTCAAGCCCCAAGATCAGCCAAAAAAAAAAGCAGGCAAAAATCCCCTTTCCCCAAATAAGCTTATTAGCGGTTAGCTTAGTCTGACCCTTTCCCCAAAATGCCACATTCCCTTTCAGAAAACATGAATGCTTCGGAAACAGGTGAAACAAAAACCCTTGCTTTTAGGGACAGAGTTTTTTTCTTCCAACTTGGCTTCTTAAATGTTGGTCTCATGTTTGTACTGCCTTTTACTTAGTTATTTAGGTTAGTCGTGGGACTGGAAATCAGGGCATTATCCCTGAGCCCTTTTGCTCAAGGCTAGTGCTTGACCACTTGAGCCATAGCTCCACTTCCAGTTTTCCGGCGATTCACTGGAGATAAAAAGACTCTTGATGGATTTTCCTGCTTGGTGGCCTGGAACTGCGATCCTCCTACCTCAGCCTCCTGGATGAGCTAGGATGACAGGTGTGAGCCACCAGTCGCTGGCCATCCTGCCTTCCTATAAACTAACTCAAAAGGAGAAAGGGGAATAAAAACCCAACAACACAAGTGCTTCACGTTAGGGAGAGAAGAGGCTCGGTCCTTGTCCCTTTCCTTGTTATTCTACAAGATGGGTCCTGTGGTGTCGCATGAGGTGCGAGTTCGAAATGAAGGCCGCACCACACTTGGCACACTCATAGGGTTTCTCGCCGGTGTGAGTTCGCTGGTGCACCGTGAGGCTGGATCTCTGCCTGAAGGCCTTCCCACACTCGTGGCACGTGTAAGGCTTCTCCCCGTTGTGAATCCGCTGGTGGATGAGCAGGTAGGAGCTGCAGGTGAAGGCTTTCCCACACTGGCCGCACACGTAAGGCAGGTCTCCGCTGTGGATCCTCTGGTGGACGATCAGACACGACAGCTGGCTGAAGGCCTTCCCACACTCGCTGCAGTCGTACGGCTTCTCGGCGGTGTGTATCCTCTGATGCACGATCAGGTGGGAGAAACAACTGAAGGCTTTGCCACACTCCTTACACTCGTACGGCTTCTCGCCCGTGTGGCTGCGCTGGTGCACGATGAGGTTGGCGCTCTGCGTGAAGGCTTTGCCACAGTCACTGCACGCGAAAGGTTTCTCCCCGGTGTGGATCCGCTGGTGGACGATGAGGTTGGAGCTCCGCGTGAAGGTTTTGCCACACTCGTTGCACTCGTAGCATTTCTCCGTGATGTGCACTTTTTGGTGGCGGGCGAGCTGGGAGCTGTAGCTGAAGGCTTTGTCGCAGTCGCTGCACTTAAAGGTTTTCTCGAGCGAGTGGATTTTCTGATGCACGGTCAGATTTGAGCTCTGCGTAAAGGCTTTGCCGCATTTGGCACACACGTAGGGCTTCTGGCCCGTGTGAATTCTCTGGTGCACCACGAGGTTTGCACTCTGGATGAAGGCCTTGCCACACGCGTGACACTCGAAGGGTTTCTCGCCCGTGTGGATTCTCTGGTGCACAACAAGATTGGCACTCTGACTAAAGCTTTTGCCACACACACTGCAAGTGAAAGGCTTTAACCCGGGCTGTATTTTTTTATTTTTCACAGCGCCAGAACTGAGACTATTGTTCCCCTTCGATTTCTTATGTTTCTGGCCTTCTTCTTCTTTAAAACTTCCAGAAAAGTGATAGTCTTGTATGGTTACTTTTCGGAAATCTTTCTTCTCCCTCTTTCTTCTCTGCCTCTTTAGCATGGTTCCATTCTCACAGATTTCTTCTAACTCCGGCCCCTGAGGGCCAGCTTTCTGATTTCTTCCTGGTAGGATGGGGTGGTTTTCGACTTCATGATATGGCTCAGGTTTTGGAACGAGCAACTGTAGGGCCTTGGTTTCAGCATCTGAACCAAGGGGACAGACAACACAAGAAAATGTGGTATATGGATACAATGGAAGTTTACTCATCTGCTAGAATGATCTTTTTTTTTTTTTGGTCGGTCGTGGGGCTTGAACTCTGGGCCTGGGCGCTGTCCCTCAGCTCTTCAGCTCAAGGTGAGCACTCTACCACTTGAGCTACAGCGCCACTTCCGGTTTTCTGGTGGTTTATTGGAGATAGGAGTCTCATGGTCTCTCCTGCCCAGGCTGGCTTTGAACCAAGATCCTCAGATCTCAGCCTCCTGAGTAGCTAGGATTACAGGTGTGAGCCACCAGCGCCCGGCGCTAGAATGATCTTGAATCATTTGCAAAATGATCTGGAAAAAATTATGCTCAGGGAAGGGAATCAGGCCCATAGAGAAAGAGAAAAAGGTTGCACGTTTCATATGGGTAAGCTAGAATTAGTGTGAGTAAATAAATAAAATACTTCAGGTACTGCGCAAGTATACACAAATGTATTAACTGAAATACAGAAAAGACAGAACTCAAAACTGAAATTCCTCAATAAAAAACACTAGGAAACAAGTACTAGAAATGGGTAGGATGGGATCAAGAGGAAGGGAATATATGAAGACAACTAGAGAATAAAGTTGAGAACGTAATGTAAATCCTGCAAAATGTATGAGAGGTGTGGTGAGGAAGGAGGAAAAGGTGAGAATGTGGAAAGAGGTAACATCGATTAAGACACATTATACTGTCAGGTGCTGGTGGCTCACACCTGTCATCCTAGCTACTCAGGAGGCTGAGATCTGAGGACTGTGGTTTGAAGCCAGCCCAGCTGGGCAGGAAAGTCTGTGAGACTCTTAAATCTAATTAATCACAGAAAAAGTCAGAAGGGAAGAGTCAGGTAGAGTGCTAGCCTTGAGCAAAAGAAGCTCAGGGACAGCGCCCAGGCCCTGAGTTCAAACCCCAGGACTGGCAAAAAAAAAAAAAAAGAAAAAAAAAATCACCAGAGTGGACCCTTCTTCCCTTAGCTAGCTAATTCTGGGAGGCTTATGATACCCACAAAGCCCAAGAAGGCATCTGTCTTTGTGGGTACACAGACAGAAAACTCAGCGAACAATATGTTTGAATAAAATGCAGACTGGTGTTAGAAGTATGGCTTGGTTGGCAGCGCACCACAATTAGTGAAAGTACCAGTCCCGAATTTTGAGTCCTGGTCTTGGGCCAAAAAATAAAAGATAAAACTGGGAGTATACTTCTATTTATCTGCTAACTTGAGAAGATATACAAAAGAAGACACTTCTTGGGCCTGGTCCAGTGGCTCAGTTGTATTCTTAGGTACTGGGGAGGAAGAGATCAGGAGGATTGTGGTTTGAGCCCAGTCTAGGCAAAAAAGAAAAATCCAGCTGGGCGCCAGGGGTTCAGGCCTGTAATCCTAGCTACTCAGAAGGCTGAGATCTGAGGATCACAGTTCAAAGCCAGCCCGGGCAGGAAAATCCGTGAGACTCTGATCTCCAATAAACTACTCAGAAAACTAGAAGTGGCGCTATGGCTCAAGTGGAAGAGTGCTGGACTTGAGCTGAAGAGCTGAGGGACAGCACCCAGGCCCAGAGTTCAGGCCCCAGGACCAACAAAAAAAAAAAAAAGGAAGAAAGAAAGAAAAGACTGAGAAACCCCAGGGTCGACTGGGAGATCAGGAAGTTGACCTTACCTAGAGAAGTCAGGTTCCTGTGAGACTCCAGCAGCTCGCTCTTCGCCAGGGCCCCCGGCCAGGAACAATTGCCAGGCGCCTCCTGTGTTGTCGTTAGGACTACTGCCATGTTCCAGAAGGTGTTCTGAACCTAGACACAAGCAAAGAGAGCTGGTTTTATGATGGTGGGGGCAGTGTGATCACAGGATGGAGGATCAGCATGTTTGTTTCTGAAATCTACAAAACATTAAAGAATAAATGAATAAATAAATAAATGGAATAGGAAGCCAGAATCTACCCAAGCCCAGCACCTATGGGAAAATGAGCAGAGAAATGAGGCTGCCATTTTTATTTTATCTCCAGTGAATCTGATGGGAGAAAAGCACATGGGAGTCACTGGTGGCCTGTCATCCTAGCTACTCAGGAGGCTGAGATCTGAGGATTGAGGTGAAAGGCCAATCTAAACCAGAAAGTCTAGGAGACTCCAATTAACCACACAAAAACCAGAAACAGAGCTGTGGCTCTAGAAGCAATGCATGAGCCTTGAGCAAAAAAGCTCAAGGAGAGCCCAGTGCTGGTGACTCACGCCTGTCATCCTAGCTACTCAGGGAGGCTGAGATCTGAGGATATCGTAGTTCAATGATAGCCAGGACAAGAAAGTCCCTTGAAACTCTTGGTGCTGTGGCTCAAAGTGGTAGAGAGCTAGCCTTGAGCACAAAGAGCACCGGGACAGTGCCCAGACCCTAAATACCAGCCCCACAACCAACAAAAAACAAAACCAGAAAAACTCAAAGAGTCTTGACTAGGAAACAAGATGCTAGATTCAGAATCAGAGGATCAGAATCCTCCTTGAAATGACGTAAGAGGCCATCACTTACCTTTTGCTCTTCTTCTGATGTATTCAGGTCTATCTGAGGGCCAGCCCCGGGGACCCACACATGTTTGCTGGCTGCCTGACTTAGGGTAGGTTCATCCTCTTCCTCTTCTTTTTTCACCTTTATGGGGCCCCAGGGAGCTAGGGCCATGGTAGCTCTCAATCCTGCAGGCACCTCTCTTCTCAGCCAGGGAGGGCCAATAGCTAGAGGTTGCCCAGCACAGATCAAGCCCCATTTAATCTGTACTTTGAAAAGCCTCTTCTTCACTTTCCAAGGCCAAGAGAAATATCTATTAAAAAAATTAAAAAAAAAAACAATATTGGACTGGTTTCCAATGGCTCAGCCTGTAGCTACTCAGGAAGCTGAGAGCTGAGGATCACAGTTCACAGCCAGGCCGGGCAGGAAAGTCTGTGAGACTCTTATCTCCAATGAAACACCAGAAAACCAGAAGTGGCACTGTGGCTCAAGTGGTAAAGCGCTCACCGTGAGCTGAAGAGCTGAGGGACAGCGCCCAGGATCAGAGTTCAAGCCCCACAACGGACCCAAAAAAAAAACAAACCAATATTGGCACTGATGACAGATATGTCCAGATGCCAAGTAGCCCAACGGCCAATTTCTCTAGGGCCTGGCCAGTAAGCACCTTAGCTCAGTGAATGTTTTATCCTCTCTCATAATATGAAAGATGATGCTAGGTAACAGTGGCTCACGCCTATAATCCTACTTACTCAGGAGGCTGCATTGGAGGATCTTAATTTGAACCAGCCAGGGAAGATAAATATGAGAGATTCATGTATCCACTTTTAGCATCACTCCTTTTTTTTTTTGCTAGCCCTGGGGCTTGAACTCAGGGCCTGGGCACTGTCCCTGAGCTTCTCTTGCTCAAGGTTAGCACTCTACCACTTGAGCCACGGTGCCACTTCCAGTTTTTTCTGTGTATGTGGTACTGAGGAATCAAACCCAAGGCTTCACAGGCTTCATGCAGGCTAGGTGAGCACTCTACCACTGAGCCACCTTCCCAGCCCCCATTGATGTTTTTCTCTAAAAGTTAACATGTTACCTGAATACCGGTGGCTCACACTTATAATTATGGCTACTAAGGAGGCTGAGATCTGAGGTTTGAGTTCCAGGTTCAAATTCAACCTAAGCAGGAAAAAGTCCTTGCAACTCTCTAATTAACCACCCATTGGAAGGGGTGCTGTGGCTCAAGTGGTTATAGAGCGCTAACCTTCAGCACAGAGAGGTTCAGGGACAGAGCCCAGGCCGAGTTCAAATCCCAGGCCTGGCAACCAAAAAATAATTTTTTTAATAATAAGTCATGGCAGAACTAATTGACAATACTGTCACCAGACTTGTGATTGAGATCTTAAACAGAACGAGAGGGATGCGAACCCACTCCTGAGGGTGTTCCCATCCCATCCACCCACCCACCCATCCATCCATCCACCCACCCACCCACCCATCCATCCACCTACCCACCACCCACCCATCCATCCACCTACCCATCCCTCAATCCATCCACCCACCCATCCA